AACTTTTCGCTTTAAAATAATCAAGATAAATTTTCTAATTTATCTGTTATAATTCAACAATCTGCTCTAAATATTATCATGATGATACGATGATTTTGTAATGTATAAAATTAGGAAAGACAAAATTCAGGATGACACGGCAATTTATTTGAGACAAGAATAATGATACAATTCCAAGGCAAGATACTATTCCTTTAACTTCCAATTACCGAGGGAGTATTTTTCAAGGGACCGGGAAAAATGTTCACTAGATAAAACGATGATTTTGTAATGTAGAAAATTAGGAAAGACAAAATTCAGGATGACACGGCACACAAGGACCGGGAAAAAATGTTCACTTTATCGAGAGATTCAAATTTACGATTTTCAAATTATCAAAATATATCTTTTTTTATATATAAGTTTATAGAGAATTGTTTTAACAAATGTTCGTTAGACAAACCTTTACTCGGGTAAAACCCGGGCGAAGCCGGGTACGTCCGCTAGTCTATATATATAAAAATGAATGTATGTGTGTGTGTCTGTTTGTTTGTTTGTTTGTCCTTTATGCCTGACCAAACCACTCATTGGATCGCCATGAAACTTTGGGAAGTTATTTAGTATAGTACTGGGAAGGTTTCTAGCAAATAAAATTTTTGAAATAACTTTTCGCCTAGAAATAATCAAGATAAATATTCTAATTTATCTGTTATAATTCAACAATCTGCTCTAAATATTATCATGATGATACGATGATTTTGTAATGTAGAAAATTAGGAAAGACAAAATTCAGGATGACACGGCAATTTATTTGAGACAAGAATAATGATACAATTCAAAGGCAAGATACTATTCCTTTAACTTCCAATTACCGAGGGAACCAATTAATATTGATTTTATTCAACTTATCGAGTATTTTTCAAGGGACCGGGGAAAAAATGTTCACTTTATCGAGAGATTCGTTAAACAAACCTTTACTCGGGTAAAACCCGGGCGAAGCCGGGTACATCCATACAAGAATAATGATACAATTCCAAGGCAAGATACTATTCCTTTAACTTCCAATTACCGAGGGAACCAATTAATATTGATTTTATTCAACTTATCGAGTATTTTTCAAGGGACCGGGAAAAAAATGTTCACTTTATCGAGATATTCGTTAGACAAACTTTTACTCGGGTAAAACCCGGGCGAAGCCGGGTACGTCCGCTAGTATAATATAAAAAGCCAACAATGAAGAATGAATGTAAGATTAAAACCAACAATGAAGAGTAATTATGATATAAAAAGCCAACAATGAAGAATGAATGTAAGATAAAAACCAACAATGAAGAGTAATTATGATATAAAAAGCCAACAATGAAGAATGAATGTAAGATAAAACGCCAACAATAAAGAGTAAATGTAATATAAAAAGCCAACAATGAAGAATAAATGTAAGATAAAAAGCCAACAATGAAGAGTAAATATAATATAAAAAGCCAACAATGAAGAATAAATGTAAGATAAAAAGCCAACAATAAAGAGTAAATATAATATAAAAAGTCAACAATGAAGAGTGAATGTAAGATAAAAAGCCAACAATGAAGAGTAAATATGATATAAAAAGCCAATAATGAAGAATGAATGTAAGATAAAAAGCCAACAATGAAGTGTAAATATGATATAAAAAGCCAATAATGAAGAATGAATGTAAGATAAAAAGCCAACAACGAAGAGTAAATATGATATAAAAAGCCAATAATGAAGAATGAATGTTAGATAAAAAGCCAACAACGAAGAGTAAATGTAATATAAAAAGCCAACAATGAAGAATAAATGTAAGATAAAAAGCCAACAATAAAGAGTAAATATAATATAAAAAGTCAACAATGAAGAGTGAATGTAAGATAAAAAGCCAACAATGAAGAGTAAATGTAATATAAAAAGCCAACAATGAAGAATGAATGTAAGATAAAAAGCCAACAATGAAGAGTAAATGTAATATAAAAAGCCAACAATGAAGAATGAATGTAAGATAAAAAGCCAACAATGAAGAGTGAATGTAAGATAAAAAGCCAACAATGAATAGTTAATGTAATATAAAAAGCCAACAATGAAGAGTAAATGTAATATAAAAAGCCAACAGAGTGAATGTAAGATAAAAAGCCAACAATGAAGAGTAAATATAATATAAAAAGCCAACAATGAAGAATGAATGTAAGATAAAAAGCCAACAATGAAGAGTAAATATAATATAAAAACCCAACAATGAAGAATGTATGTAAGATAAAAAGCCAACAATGAAGAGTAAATGTAATATAAAAAGCCAACAATGAAGAATAAATGTAAGATAAAAAGCCAACTATGAAGAGTAAATATAATATAAAAAGCCAACAATGAAGAGTGAATGTAAGATAAAAAGCCAACAATGAAGAGTAAATGTAATATAAAAAGCCAACAATGAAGAATGAATGTAAGATAAAAAGCCAACAATGAAGAGTGAATGTAATATAAAAAGCCAACAATGAAGAATGAATGTAAGATAAAAAGCCAACAATGAAGAATGAATGTAAGATAAAAAGCCAACGATGAAGAGTAAATATAATATAAAACGCCTACAATGAAGAATGAATGTAAGATAAAAAGCCAACAATGAAGAGTAAATATAATATAAAAAGCCAACAATGAAGAGTGAATGTAAGATAAAAAGCCAACAATGAAGAGTAAATGTAATATAAAAAGCCAACAGAGTGAATGTAAGATAAAAAGCCAACAATGAAGCGTAAATATAATATAAAAAGCCAACAATGAAGAGTAAATCTCTCTATATATAAAAATGAATGTTTGTATGTTTGTCTGTTTGTATGTTTGTTTGTATGTCCGGTATACAAATTCGCAGTAGTTCACTTATTCAAACCAAAATTTCCATACATAGGTAAATAAATACGGGGAAGACGATAGGCTATTTTAAAAAATATATAAATCAATTATTAAAACTATATATTTTCAGTCAGAAAATGATGATGACGATATTGCTGTATCATGTTTGATTATCAGATACAAAATTATATCGGGAAAAATTCCAAAAAGCAGAGACCACGGGTGAAACCAGTTCATTATTTTGTACGCAGGAACAAAATTCTAACAGAAAAACATTCATTCGAGCAGAAAACAAAAGCCAGATCATCTTTCTATAAAAATATCTCTTCTCAGACACAAAGTTTGGAGCGGGACGTTTCTCAAGAGTGACATCCACGGCGCCAATTTATAATTGTAACGAATAGTATTTGAATAAAAACATTTAATCGGGTAAAACCCGGGCGTTGCCCGGGTCATTCGGCTAGTACCAAATAAAGAACTATCATCTTGTGTCCCCTGCTTGCCTCTCCTATATCCTACATGCCATCGAGAATATAACACTTATATTGTTCCTCCAAAATATTATTAATGCGATATACATAGGCTCTTGTTGGTTTCTACGCTGCTTGGAGTATAGGAGCTCCATCTATGCTTCCTTTCTCCCTGTGATGAATCTGTATAAGACCGATTGTCTTAATAAAGCTGTGTGTGAATACGATATACATTTGAGGAAGGGAACTTGTGTAAATAAGGTGCCATGTTACCACCCCAGTCCCCAGAGACTGACACCAGGATTCCACTGCCGTGTCAGTCTCAGAAAATGTAGACAATGACAATTAAAATAATTTTATTGACATCGTGTCAATACATGCAAAGTGCACAGTCTGCACTATTTAAAAATATATATAATTAAATATATATGAAAAAACAATAGAAAAAAATAAAAGATAAGTGGGTCAGGTGTTGATATTAAAAATAAAGAAGGCATCTCCTGACCACGAGCTCATGTGCTTTTTAAACAAGAAATTGGGTTGGCCAAATATCACGGAGCAAGCTAAATAAACGTTTAGTTTATTTTTGCTCCACTAGATGGCGCTCAGCCATCTAAAAAGCACATGAGCTCGTGGTCAGGAGATGTCTTCTTTATTTTTAAATATATATATATGCGGATATTTGCGGAAGAGCGATTTCTCGAAGCATTTTATATATTTATAATTGTATGTAATTCTACTGTCCTCAAAGCTTATGTCCATAGTTCTTTTAAAATACCCATTCAAAGAGTCTAGCATCAGTATTACTATAAAAGGAAGTTCGAAAAATGCAATATAACAGCGGTATGGTAGATTAAACTGGCGAAACCGCTGGGAGGGTTCACCACTGATGAGCCAGGCCCTCCCATTAATTTTTCCATTGCAGTAAGGACAGTAAAAATTGTTTATTTTTAAAAAAGAATCATACGCGTCTATAATAGTTTGAAATTTTGATAACAGATGGCGCGCTAATGCATCATAATATATATGCCTTATACACTATGTACAATGAATATGGCGCCTCTGCCAGCGCTGCAGAGTTTGGTGGAGAATCACCAGTGGGTCTCCAGCGCAACACACCATGACCTTAACTGGCGAAACCGCTGGGAGGGTTCACCACTGATGAGCCAGGCCCTCCCATTAATTTTTCCATTGCAGTAAGGACAGTAAAAATTGTTTATTTTTAAAAAAGAATCATACGCGTCTATAATAGTTTGAAATTTTGATAACAGATGGCGCGCTAATGCATCATAATATATATGCCTTATACACTATGTACAATGAATATGGCGCCTCTGCCAGCGCTGCAGAGTTTGGTGGAGAATCACCAGTGGGTCTCCAGCGCAACACACCATGGCCTTCTCAGCGACCTTCAGTTTGTCTTCCCTAATTTACCCAGCATCTCCACCAAACTGTCACGTGGAAAATTAGAGGAAATACAAACTTCAGGATGACGCAGCAATTTATTTAAGAGACAAATACAAATTAGAGAAAATATATTTATTTACGGGGCTGCTAACCAAAATAGATGATTTTTGAGCCCCAATGGCCGCGTAAAGCGGAATATATAAAACCACTATAACCAGGCTGGAGAGGCTAGGGACAGGATCTCCGTTAGGGAAGAGGCAGGTTAGGCCGGATTGAAAAGGAAGCCTACGGCACCCGGTATTCCCAGGTGGTCACCCTCCCAAGTACTGACCGGGCCCGACGTTGCTTAACTTCGGTGATCGGACGAGAATGGCCGTAGACAGAATACAAATTATGAATGATAAAAATATATATATAAGCAATGAGGGAAGTTTACAGAGAAGCCAAAATATGAACATCAAAAATGATACTCTGTTAATAAAATAATAAATATGTGGCTACAATATTTTGTAGAAACAATATAACATTTTTATAGCTAGTATATATATGCCATAAAATAAGAAATAAATATGTCGGAAAAATATTAAGTTTTCTTTTATATCATACTCTCAATTTACAATATTTATGAGAAAATATTTTATAAGAATTTAACTTTTTTTAAATAAACAAATTGACCTCAAAATAACAAAAAGTTGTATTGTGGCTTAAACCTATCTTTAAAAAAGAAAAAAAAGAGTTGAAGTTTGATATATTTTTTTATAAATAAATAAAAGAATAGTTGAGAGATATATCTGAAGTGAACAAAAAACGTTTCAAACTTTAATGTTTCAGAAAATGTTGTTTTTGTCGTCTGGCGAGGATTGGTTGGTGGAGTGGAAGGACCAATCATGTTCGAGGAACGTATTTCTCGTCTGATTTTAATCCTGTATTTAATTTTTGATCTCTACCGCCTCACTTTATCGTCTGAAGGCTTATTGGATCAACCTAGATTCTACAAGATGGGTTTTAAAAAATGAAGAACAAGCGTTTTTTTTTGGCAAGTATTTATGACATATATATTTCACAATGTATGTGTCGATATGATATGAGTAAAATATGAGAGAAATACAGAAAGACTATTAATAGATAATGATATATGTAAAACTTATGTATATTACTTTATGTATGAATATTTATGTCGTCGTTGGAATTTAAAAGTAAATTTTCTCAAAATTCGAATTCTTTTTAACGATTTCTACGTGATATCGAGCAAAATATTCAAATATGATGCCTTAGCGCGCCCCTGTATTAATAAATACAATCTATTTATAGCTCGATTGTTTTCTTTTAAAATAAAAAAAAATAAATAAGGGCATTATAAAATTGTTTTATTTTAAATAGAACATTTTCGCGCCATAAATACACTCATGCACAAAACTTAAGGAAGTAGAAAAACTTTGATGTCGCCGGTCGTCTATTTTTTGAAGGAGACAGAGGCAATTTTGTTCACACTTGGTTATCTCGTGTGTCTTGAATAAAGGTCACTGTGTATCAAATATCTTTTAGAGTTCGTCTGAATCCAGATATACATGCTAAAAGGTGCAACTTCCTTAAGTTTTGTCTATGAGTGTATATTTCAGAGTTATTGTCTGAATCCCGATATACATGCTAAAGGTACAATTACTTAAGTTTTGTCTATGAGTGCATCATTCAGAGTTATTGTCTGAATCCCGATATACATGATAAAAGGTACAACTTCCTTAAGTTTTGTCCATGAGTGTATATTTCAGAGTTATTGTCTGGATCCCGATATACATGCTAAAGGTACAATTACTTAAGTTTTGTCCATTAGTGTATATTTCAGAGATATTGTCTGAATCCCGATATACATGCTAAAAGGTACAACTTACTTAAGTTTTGTCCATGAGTGTATCTTTCAGAGTTATTATCTGAATCCCGATACACATGCTAAAAGGTACAACTTCCTTAAGTTTTGTCTATGAGTGTATCTTTCAGAGTTATTGTTTGAATCCCGATATACATGATAAAAGGTACAACTTACTTAAGTTTTGTCAATGAGTGTATCTTTCAGAGTTATTGTCTGAATCCCGATATACATGATAAAAGGTGCAACTTCCTTAAGTTTTGTTCATGAGTGTATCTTTCAGAGTTATTGTCTCAATCCCGATATTCATGATAAAAGGTACAACTTCCTTAAGTTTTGTCCATGAGTGTATACTTTGAATAAATTTCAAGTATATGATCACCTGGGTTATCTAATCACATTAGGTAGTTGGAGAATGTCCTTTGCTGTATGCGCACCGCATGTTACACTACATATATGTGCACATGTAGCAAGCAGTTTAACTTTTCACCTAAAAGGTACCAGAGTCCCATTTGGGTACTTGCGCTCGCTACTGGAAGGAAAAAATAGTGTTCAATGAGACGGAGTAGTTTCCAGTTCCTTATTGTCAAAGATCGATAGTAAGTAACCACGTTCTTTTGAAATTTTGTAAAATGTAAATGCCGACTAAATAAAAATATCAACTAGTTAGAAGAATTTGAGATACAGCTTGCACCTTGCTGATGAGAGCTAACAGCCCGAAACGCGTACATATTTTATATATTAATTATAACACTTATTATTGAATGGTGATGGATTAAAAGTGCATTCTGAGAATGTATACTACTATACCTTTGAAACTGCATCAGAAATAATAGTATTATTCTTCTTTCTTATCTCCACTCAATCATATTAGGGTATCAAGTCTGTATAGCTTGAGACTTTTTATGGTGTCTGTTGGGGATGAATAGAGCTCATCAATAGATGAGCCAATACAATCAATACTGTGGTTTGGGGTTGTAGGTTGAGAATTACACTTGATACATAGTGGGAAAACCTTGAAACCATTCTAGAAAGTCATTGTCCGTAGATGACCAGACTTAAGTATGGAAATCAAAGACTGTTGTTCTCTTGGAAGGACAAAACCGGTGCTCCTGCTCTGTACTAGTCATGTTCAGCATTGGATTTCCATTCCTGTAGTCTTTGGAGAAATAAGAGTGATGTTCTGCATTTAATGATATCTAGTTCAAATTATAAACCAACCTGTATAACCACGAGCCTATAATTCTACGCCTAGAGTTTTTACAAAGTCGTGCCGTTTTGGTATCAATGTATAAAAAGGCAACATTTTATATTTCAATATGTCAGCAATGGTAGTTAAAATCACAAAACCCGAAAATATCTAAGACTTTAATTGGCGCGTATCTGTTTGGGGCATCTTCGGATGGCGAACTTGGGCCCGAGGGTCTCCTTGAGCAGCTCTAGCCTGCTGTCCTGGGTCAGCCGTGTCTTGAACTTTTCCTTGAAGTCGTCCTCCTTCACCACTACGGATGGGGCCTCGGTCGCCGCTGGCTGAATCTTCTCCAGCGGATAGCCCTTCCAGATCAGCTCCATGCCTTCCGTCCACTCAACCACTTCGTCCTCCTCTTCCACCATCTTCTCAATAGTGCTGATACTTTCCCCTTCAATATAAATATTCTCTTCGTCTTCCTCCCCGATTTGTTGATCGTAGTCTTTTTCTTGCTCCTCTTTTTTCGACTCGCCTTTACCATCAGAGATGGATAGAAGTTCGTCTAGAACCACCGCCTCTCCTTCCTCTTCCATGATTTCATCTGGAGCTTCTTTCGACGGGATTTTTGGAGGAGTATGTAGGCCACCTTCTAGCACATCACTTCCAGGTTTCCTTCGAAGGAATCTTCCTCTTTGCTCAGTTCCATGGCTGAATATGATTTTGGCATCTCCAGCTGGGATGTTGCTTATGAAATTCCCTATGTAACGGAATGGTCCAAAGTTTAAGACCCCGAATCCATATCTTTGGCCATTCTTCCACAAGCCTTGGTATTCAGAGTTGCAGTCGAAGTAGTGGTAGGCCCCTCTTCCATGCTTGTTACCGTTCCTCCATTGGCCCACGTAGAGGTCGCCGTTCTTGTACTGGTAGATGCCGTCCCCGTGGCGCACGTCGTCCTTCCACTCGCCGTTGTAGACTGATCCATCGGCGTAGTAGAACAGTCCGTAGCCACTCTTGTAGCCGTTCTCCCAGGTACCCTCGTAGTGCGCTCCACTCAGATGGTAGAAGTAGAGGCCGTGGCCGTGACGCAGGTTGTATTCGTATTCACCCTCGTAGACGTCGCCCATCGGCAGCGTGGCGCGGCCCCAGCCGTGGCGTTCGAACATCTCGTTGCGGCCACCCTCGTACGTTCCCACGTTGGGGAGCACCAGCCGCTCCTCCTGCACCGACTCCCCGGCCATCTCCTCCATCAGCTCTGGTTCCGACATGATGCTGCGCCAAACTCTTTCAAAGGATTCAATTCAAAACCTGCGTTTATCTCGCGGCCAAATCTCCAGTTCACATGCAGGAAGTGTGTGCGCGGCCTGCCCTGTTTTATTCCCTTGTAAATAAACAAAAATTATAAAGCGATAACGTGCCAGCTATATACAAGAAATAGAAGAATCGAACCACGAATGTTTCTTTTAAACATAAAACAAAATTCTATTTATATATAATTCTACTGTCCTAAAAGCTTATGTCCATAGTTTGCTTGAATACCATTTCTAAGATTCCACCCTTAATTGCAGAATATATAAGCAGAATCGTCCAATACAATATTAGAGCTCTAAGAAGCGGTCTGGTAGATTAAATTGGCGAAATCGATGGCAACCGGCGGTTTCGCCAATTTAATCTACCAGAACGCTTCTTAAAGCTCTAATATTGTACTGGACGATTCTGATTTTATATGCGACAATGAAGGATGGAACCTTAGTATTGGTATTTCAGCAAACTATGGACATAAGCTTTTAGGACAGCAGAATTATACATAAATACTTGCATTCAGCAATGTTCTTCCGCAAACACTAAAGAGACAAGGCCAATTAGGTATAAATTAATTATAAAACAATAACGCGCCATCTATACACAATAAATATAACAACGAATGTTTATTTTATAAATAAAGCAAAAACAGTAGAAGTTTGGTTTATTAATAAAAGAAACCTTGGTGCTTGTTGAAATTAGAATTCACAATAGACAATTCCAACAGATAAATGATAATGAAGCTTCAGCCTGGCACAGCGTCAGGTACTTAGCTCCAAGAAGAAGTGGGGACCCGCTCCAGGTCGTTGGACCCAAAATAGCTGGGCCACCTGAGGCCTGCCAAGATTCCATATGTTTTAAGCAAGCGTCAATAGTTCTTGTTCTTCTGGAGATGTTCGTATGCAAATGTTCAGCAGAATAAACTCGATTGGCAGCTAGTTCCATTGTTGAAGTTGTTGTTGCCGTGTCTCTTAATTGGAAAATGGGTGCTGTTGCCACGTTAGTCACTTTGAACCAGAATTTGGTCAAATATTCAGAGGGTCCATGGG